TCTCCCCTGAGCCAGGAGACTCAGTCCCATGGCCGGCGGAGCCCCTCAAGCGCTGTGCTGCGGCCTCCTCCCGCCCCCTTTCGACAAAGAGGCTCCAGAGGGGAGGGGGCCCCAGCCAAAGTCCTCCCTGGTACCCCGAGCGCCCAGCCGCCTGCATCCAGGCCCCTTCCTCGCAGCCCCAGAGGGAGAGCAACACTGCCCCCCGGTGGCCATGTGAGGGCACCGCGCAGAGTGGGGAAAGCTCACCTCTTTGAACTTGCCCTGGCAGCAGAGGTAGCTGACGAAGCCCAGCAAATGCGGGCGGTCGGCGGCGTGGAGCCGATAGATGCTGGTCAGCGGCTCTAGCAGGCTGGCATTGCACCGAGGGAGCAGGGGAAAGAGGCGGGCCTGCAGCTTCTTCAGCTTTAAGCCAGACTGAGGGCAGCAGAGAGAGATCCCGTGAGGTCTAGAAGCAATCTGAGTCCCAGGTGCAGAGGCGAAGAGCGAAAGGACGAAGGGCTTCTGGGGGGTTTTGAGCCACTCTGTGTGGGGCAGGCCCGGGGCAGCCCAGCAAGGTCCCTGCCACGCGCCACAGGGAAATTGGGGGCTCTGAGCTTCTGAGGCGACCTGTCTTCCTTCACTGGGCCCGCAGGAAATGCCAGGCTTCTGGGGGAGCAGCAACCAACGTCACCCAGCCACAAGGTGAGCCAGTCGAGGAACTGGTGCTCCTGAAGGGCCAGAAGGGCTGCTGAGGCTCCCAGCCAGGACACCTCTCTTGAGGACAGCTACTCCTCTGGGGCCCATTTGGGAGGCAGCCGGGCAAGGCCTCTGTGTCCCCACAGGGTGTCAGCAGCCAACCTTCCGCTCAGCGCCCCTAAGGCCCAAGGACGGAGGCCTATGCTCCACGTGGGTCTGGCATCCCCCTTACCAGCTGGCTGTTTGCACCGTTCCTTATCCAGCGCTGTAGCTCACGGACAATGTGGGACAGCAAGCCTTGCTCCTTCCAATCACCATGGCTCTCCAGCACACCCATGAGCCACGCTAGTGGGTCGTGCAGGCTGGCAAAGCCCCGTCGCATTTCTTCCTGGAGCTAGGACAATCCAGAAGGACCTCTGTTGACCCTGCTCTGCCCAGCCCGTGATGCACAAGTCCCCCGTAGGGCACCCAGCTTTCCAGAACGTCAGCCCTTCAGCCCCAGCGAGGGAGAAAGGGAGCTGGGCAGGGTGAGAGCTGCTGCTCCTCCTCCCACGGCCAGCATGAAGACAGACGCCATTCTGCAGAATCCCTTACGGTGGAAGCAGAATACTTGTGCCGTTAACAAGTCCTTGTGGGGGCTCGGGCAGAGGGGAGCAAGAATCAGGGGGCCCACACAGCTTCCTCCTCAGAAAGCAGAAGGCGGAAATCCGGACAGGCAGTGGGTGCTGCAGCAAATTCGGCTGCTTGCTCTACGACTTTATTGAACTCACCTTCTCCACGTCTCTCCTTGCCCAGAGCGCCTGAAGACACTGGAGCAATGGGTCCTGCTCTAAAGGGAGAGAGAGAAAACCGAGGCATGGAGAGAAATGAAGCACAGAGCAGGGACTCGTTCCCTCCACCCCCGCCATAACCATGCATGCGGGGGGTGGGCTTATGGCTCAGCCAAGGAGGGCCCTCCTGCCCTGCTGAGGGCATCGGCATCACCTAAAGCCAACCAGAAAACCTTCTTTGCCTTTCCATCTCTTATCCAATGTAACTATTACAGAAATAATCTTGCGAGGGGCTAAGACACCGCCAAGCTGCAAGGGCCAACCCCCCTCACCCACCCAGAATGTTTTCACCTGGCGCCACTGATAGGGAAGGACTTGGATGAACACCTTGGTGCAATGAGTTCCACTGGCCAGACGCTCCTCCTGGGAAGGCCCCCTGAATTCCCCTTTAATGGGCCCCAGAGAATCCGGGGCCAAAAAGGCCAGTTCGGATGGTTCCTTGCTGGGCCAGGCCCTCTGACCTTCCTCCCTTCCAGGAAGCGCTGCTCTGTGGCGACCGGGAGGCCCACAGCCTTCTCTCCCTCCTTCCCAGAAACACCCCCTGGCATCCTGTTTTCCTCATGGGACTGAACAGGAAACGCAGCACTTGGCTGGCGGGGCACCTCAGGGAGGGACAGGTCAGCTGGGAGGCTGCTGGGGGAAAAGGAGGCCCTCCCTGAAAATGGCCACCCAGAGGTGAGCAGGAGAGCCACCCTCGCAACCGGGTGGTCCCAGGAGGGGTGGGGAGCGGGCTGGTGGGCCGACTCCCTCAGGACGGGGCTGGACAGGTGCCGGATCTGCTTCCCAGAGTTTTGGGTGGAACCACTGATGTTTCTAGCCTTTGCCCCCTGGGAGACACTAGGCAAATAGTTCCTTGCAGAGGGCTGCAGCTCAGCCTTGGCCAGGAAGCCCTCCTCCCCCCACAGATGAAACGGAGTCAGGATACCTCTCACAGGGAGAGCGGGGCTGTAACAACTCACCCTGCAAACGCGGGTGTCTCTGCTTCCCAAAATTGAGAAAATGGAGAAGGAGCTTGAATTTAGGCATCTCCTTCACGAGCTAGCTTTCTAGCTGCAAGACATTTGTGGCACAGCTGGTCCCGGGATCAGGGCAGCCCAGACACATCAGTTAGCCTCCTGATGAGAGTTGGGACAACCTCCGGCTGTTGCATCCCCGCCCTCGGCACCACCATTCCATGCAGGCAGATAACTAGCCCAAGAGGAATGACCAGTTTAGAGATTTGCTTTTCTGCACATCCAGGCTCCTGGGCATTCAGCATTGTTTGACTTGCGTCTTGTGGGCCTGGCTGCCTCCTTGCTGGGCGGCCGCTGAAAGCAGCCGCTGCATTTCCCACTGGCTCAAGTCACCCCAGCTCTAGCTGGAGAAACTGACAGCCCCTGTTTGTGAGGCAATTGCTTGGTTCAGCTCACTGCCAGGCTTCATTCCAGGGCTGCTCTGGTAACGACGCTTAGCATGCAAGAAAGGGCACTGAAGTCCCCAAAGGTGAGCGTGCACATGAGGCACCCAGAGGTCTGAAAAGCGTGGCACCGGCAGAGAGCGAATCGTGCAAGTCCAGAGACCTTGCCTGCGGGAGCTCCATGCTTGAGCGTCTGTGTGCAAAGGGAAAAAGGGAACGGGAGCTTCAACTTGGCCAGCTGACAGCCTGGGGCTCCAGGCCCTCATTCTGAGGAAGCAGCCCTGCAGCCCCTCCTCAGCCGCCCCTGCAACACCAGTGTTTGTCTTGGAAGCGATCGGATGAGGCCGCCTGGCACAGGAAGGACAGGCAGACGGAGGATGACAGGAGGAGGCAACCCCTGGACCGGTCAGATGGGGGAGGGTTGGGCCACAGGAGGGAATCCAAGGAGGCAGCCAAAGTTTCCTTGGAGTGCTTACATCTGGTGGAAGCCTGCAGGCTCCTCAGACCATGGCCGGGTGAGAGTTTTCTGGGAAGCTTCGGAGATATTCAGAGCACGCTCCCTTGCCAAGGCCTTTCGAATCTCAAAAGCGTCCTCCTACCGAAAAAGCGTCCTTTCTCCAAGCAATCACCCCTGTATGGGCTGAGCTGTACTCCCCGACTTCTCTGCCCTACCCACCACCCGTCCCACAGGACCACTTTCTTTCAGGACACAAGCTAGGTATTATCCCAAGAGGACTTAGGTCTGGTTTCTCCCTGGTCTGTCAAGGGCCCCCTGCTCGGGTTTCTTTCATGCAAGCTTTAGAGGGGGAACCTGGCAACCTATCCCCCTTCTCTCTGGAACGGGAGGGCCAGAAAAGGGACCTTGGGTGCTGCTGGGGGCTCTTCTTCTCTTCCCTTTTCCCAGGACTAGACTTCCAAAGGTGATTTTTTCAGGGCCAGGAAAAGGAGGAGGAACAGCCATCAGAAGCTGGGCCCAGAGAGGAAAGGGGCAGGCTCCGGGCTTGTAGGGCAGGTGCCTCACCATTGGAGCTGAGAGATGGGCGATCTTCCACCAGGGTGTCTTCAAGGGAATGGAAGACCGCCGCCTCCCCATCCTGGAAGCAGGAGAGAATTTGGTTACTTGCAGCCGGTGGATGACCGAAGCCTGAACGCCGCCTCTCCTACCACCAACCCTTGAGGGGGCGGTGCCATCCCAGGAAAACAATCTGGTCTGAAGAAGGCAGGGAGGCTGCACTCGCTTGGGGAAGCTGCTGGGAAGAGGTGGCTGAGGGACAACCTTGCCTCACTCCCTTTCTGGGCTGCCTAAAGGCCACTTCCAGGCCACTGTGTGGGGCAGGGGCCTGGGCTAGGAAACCTTTGCTCCAGCCCACCAAGTGTCTGGCTCTGTTAGGCAGCTTACTTAAGGAGGAAACCCCTGCGGCCAGCAGCTGTCTATGCTGTGGAAGTGCATCCAGAGACGGAACCGTCTTCATGTCCCCTTAGCCTGGCCACCAAGCCAGCCGACTGACAGGGCCCAACCTGGTGGCCGAGCCCTGGTTCCCTCTAAGGGCCACCCAGCTCTTCCTGGCCTCTGGGATGCCGCCAGCAGCCAAGGACCCAGAGTGGAAAGAGGCCTTCCTTCAGAAGCAGCTCTACCCTTGTCCGTGGCCTCCAGGTGTCCTGGGGCCTGAAGCCCCACTCGGCTGCTGTGGGAGGTGGGACGCCGCTGGGGTGCCCTCTGAATGGCCAAGATGGCTTTGAAAAGGGACAGAGAAGGCACGGCCAAAGGGTGGCAATCAGCTGCAACTGCCATACGCAGGCGAGGGAGGTGAAGAAGCCATGTGCCAGTTGCTTGTGGCGCTCCCACCACTGTCAGAGAAAGCACTGGGGCAAGCAGCCTCCCAGTCCAGACAGTGCTACAGGGTGCCTTCTGGAAGATACGATCAGAAGGCCCCTCCGTTTCCTCGTCAGATCCATTCGAGCCAAACCGCTCCCTGGCCTGGCTGAAAGTGGATCCAGCCCCCTTTGAAGCAACTTGGGCTCCTGCCCGCGTAATGGGATCAAGGGGTAGACAGGCTTCCCCTCCTGCTTCCCCGACATCTGGCGGGTGGGAGTGCTGCAGAGCCCACGGGAAGCTCTGTCATCTGCCCTGCCATTGTCCCAAGCAACACAATGCTGTGGCCCCAAGAAGCGTTCAGAGCCATCCCCGGGGGCAGCAGCCCGCTGGGCCTCTCTCGTGCATCAGGCCAGACTGGCCCTTCTGCAGAAGGATGAGCAGCACGAGGCACACCCCGCTGTCATCAGACCCCACCAAAGAACGTCCTGGCGCTTCACTGGTGGTTCATGAAGCCCTGGGCCAGACCTGCCAAGACGCTGAATAGCCCAAGGCCCCCTTACAAAAGAAAGGTGGGACGTAAGCCCAACTCAAGGAACGTGACCTTGCGGCCCTTCCCTGTAGCAACCATGGAGGGTCAAAGGCATTTCACTGGCACCAGGATCTGCCAGGCATAGCCTCTCCAGTGAGCTCAAGGCTGAAGAAATGCACCAGGAGCCAGCATTTATTCTTGAGAATAAAAACAGCTGCACAGGAAAAGAGAGCCAGATGTTTTTCTGGATAATTGCTGAGTATGCTGCTTTTTTGTTTTGTTTTTCACTTTAAGAGTTTAACTTAAAACATTTTTTTTAAAAAAAACCTTTTTGGAACACAAAAAAATTAAGATGTGCTGCTGTCTAGCTGAAAAATCAGGGGCTGCTGGATACACTGCCAACACGGAGAGGATTCCCATGGATGTGGATTTTTTTCCCTAAGTCCTCCAAACCGTAAAGCACAGACAGCCTCTGCAGCTGACATCTGAGATCCATTTAACATTTCTCAGGGACTGCTGGCTTCAAAAAACACCCACAAACCGCATGGAAGCGTCCAGTAAATCCAAACCATATCAAAAGCCCTTGACAACACGGGACCAGTCAGCTGCTGTCCTTGGTCCAGAGAGCTCTGCAGGGAGCCACCTCATTTCCAAAGGTCTGATGCTGCAGCTCCATCCAGATCAGAAACCACTGAAGGAAATACCCTGTCCAGCAGACAGGTGACCGAAGCATCGAGCCACGTCAGACACCACGAGACACAATCAGATTACAACTGGCTCAAAACTCACCCACTGTAGTGCTCGCACAAAGCATGCCTACGTGTACACACACACACACACACACACACACACACGGCACCTTAGGTGCAAAAACATTCCAACGTTACAGCTGCATGCTCATCTGGGAAGATGGTCTCTGCTAAGCCCAGTCACCGCACTGGACTTTGCTCTGCACTGAAAAACAACTGGGGCAACTGGATTCAGGGGATCTGGCTTTGTCATCAGGCCTGGGGGTCTCAGGGGACCAGTGAGATCTTGAGGTGGCTCCTTTGCTAATCCAATCTCTTGTGTGCCATATGCTTTTTAATCATGACTGGTTTTTTGACAAGTTTTATGTTTCGTATCTTTGTTGTATGCCGAGTCACTTCTTGTGAGATGCGCAGATCTATAAATTTGATCTATAAATAAATAAAATAAACTCAGCGGCTGAAGCCAAACAGATGCACCCAAGGAAGGCAGCCGTGCTTGGAGAGCAGACAACAGTATTTCTCACAGAGACTGACCCAAAGGGACCATCAGGTCACCGGCAAGTATCCACAGCTGTGGCATCTGCGGGCCCTGCTTACCGGCCACAAACTGAAGCAAAAGCTCTTCTGGCAAGGCCTTGCTTTGGCGAGGAGACCACCACTCCTGCCCCTGTGCCTGCATCACTGCACTGGGGGCGGGGGCGGGTGACTGCGGCTAACAGATGGGGAAACGGGTTATTTCAGGCATTTGGTCTTTCCATCCCCCAAAGGGGAAAAACGCTGCTGGGTGGCTCTTCCTCATACGAAGAGGAAGGGCGTTCCGTGGCGCAGCCCGGAGCCGCAGCCCCGAGCCGCGAGGG